CGGACCAATTTTTGCGCTCCTGCTGCGCGGCTAGGTCTGCCGGCCACATAAGCGGTGAAGCGAGTGAGTTTCTGCTGAGTTTTGCCGCTTTCGCCCCCTTCCTTTGAGGCCAAACGTGAACGTGCCGTTACAGTCGATGTCCGTTACAACTTCAAGGGTGGCAACAAAAAATTATGCTGGCGTAGTGCCATTATGTTGAATAGTTCACACCATGCGACACAGCACGAACATATCTATAGTGTCTTCACGCGTTTTTCTGTGCTGCTCTTGTTTTTACGTGTGACATCGAAATGCTCTAAGATGAACTGCAAATAACGGTAGCCGAACTTTCTATGCTGAATAAGCGACAGATCTCACGTGTGCTTGATGTACAAGCCATGCTCTATGAAGTCTCTGATGACACATTGAAGATTTTTTGTACTCATTAAATGTAGTTAATAAAGTAAATTTTTAGCGCAGGGTTGCCAGAAACATTCCACCACAACCTTTCACATGACGTTGGTGCCTAAGTTGGCCACTTCCCTATCGCTGCGGATATGCCCAGGTCACTCAGGCTTGCAACGTCGGAAAGCTACAGTAGAGAAATGTAGGATGGTACGTCAAGAGAAACGTAGCTTGTAAATCGCTCCTTTGAGATCATAGTTCCCGCTCATCCGTTCTTGGGTATTGTGATGGGGGGGTGCAGTGACATGATGCCAACGGTTTTTGTGCGTAGACTGCAAGTTTCCGTAAATATGCGCCGCAATATTAAAATGATAGCATATCCACGGGGTAAATGATGATGAGTGGGCGAGGCTCTGGAAGGAATCATCGGTAAAGCGTGAATCATGCGTGTGATTCCACGAGTCGATCATCATTTAAAGACGTGAGAAACTCTGTATGTGTATGCTATGCCACTTTGGCCTCCCATTATCATACGGCAGGATCTTCGTAGCGGCGTCACGCAGCTTCACGGCCGCGCCACGCGCCAACAGAGAACGAGTTTTATTACAACGCTCCTCTTAGCATACGTCGCCGCACTAAATTGAACGATTACCTTTAATAAAGACACGCGCCATATGTGGCATCACTTCTATTATAACATCTTGCATCTTTCATTATCAACAACAGGTACCGCCATCTAGTTTTATAACATGTCGCATCTATTCATCAATTCCAAGTACCACCATCTAGTGTTATAACATCTAGTATCAACTACCGCGATCTAGTGAACACTGCAAGAACTAAAATAGAGGTGGCTACCTACCACTACTGCCCCTACGTTCCTCAGAGGATGTACAAACCCAAGCCTTAAGGAGCACGCCCCTAAAAATTGACAGCATGTCAACGGGGTGAATGATGGAGAGTGGAGCGAAGCTGGGTCCGCACGCTGCTGCCGCGCCTCTTCGGCCTCCTGTTCTCGTAGGACGGGACCTTGTAGGCGCCACCGCGCAGCTTCACGGCACGCTTCTGCCTCGCCTGCTCGCATATCAGGGTTGCGTCTTCGAGCGCGAGCCACCGCCACCTTGCACGCACGCCGCTCCACCGACATGCACACACGCGCGTGCCAAAACGGCTTTTATTTACACCGCGCCCCCTTACTTACAGCGCCGCCGATGAAGACGCGATAGCCAACGCCTTGATGTGGCGTCATTCCTAGTTTCTCACGCGCTTGCACATCGGGGTTCCGTTTTCGAGTGCAAGCTGCCGCCGCCTTGCGCGTATTACACTTTTTATTGGCGATCCGTGATCATCCGCTGGCCGCGTCCGTCCGCCGTCTGTCTGTCTGTCCGTCTGTCTGTCTGTCTGTCTGTCTGTCTGTCTGTCTGTCTGTCTGTCTGTCTGTCTGTCTGTCTGTCTGTCTGTCTGTCGTACGGACGCACAGAAGGACACGCCAGGTGACGGATGGACGGATGCATGCACAGATGGACGGATGGCCGCACGCACGGATGAATGGATGGGCTTACGCACGCTTGATTGGATGGACGCACGGACAAACGGATGCAGGGACGGGCGTACCACGTAAGGACGCATGGACGTATTGATAAACGCAAGGCCGTATGCATGGATGGATGCATGAGAGGACAGACGGATGGATGTACGCATGAATAAATGGAAGCAAGAACGAACGGACGGCCGGAAGCACGGAAGGAATGATGGACGCTTCGCCCCTCTCATCATCATTCACTTCGTGGATATGCTGTGATTTTCATTATTTATCATAGTACAAGTAACGTCCTCTAGTATCGTATGCATTTGCATTTTCAGCGTACATGCATTTCATTATATGTACTAGTACGACGCTCTAAGGCCGGTTCAATAACTAACGAGGGGTGGCTACATAAGAGTACGGCGGGACGCTCAGCCCATGCGTTAAGGAGCTTCGCTCGTCAACCGAAGCTTAAGGTGGCATGAAGACCATTACTTTAAGAAAATTTACAGAATGCGATCACGTGAACGTCAATGCTTTAACGCATGGGTGCAAGAAGAATGTTTCAGCGAAATCGACCGACCGCTTAACGAAGAAAGCACCTGAGAACAAAATTCGCGTGAGAGGCTGAACCAGAAACCTCATGAATCTACGCAAGGCCAATATTAACGGATGTCTCCAAGAGTGCGACTAGAAGTGGCCTATCTACAATGATCATGATAGGATTAGAATAGAAGCAGTCAAGGCGAAGCCTCTTATATTGAGCAGCAAGGCTTGAAATGTGTCAGCAAAACATAGCAGTCATTATACGATAAGAAATTATCGTTTCGAGGACATCAGCAGGTTGTGTTGCCATATTATCTGGGTCCTAATCTTCAAAACAGATTATGGTGTGCATGCCTGTTGTATATCTCTTTTTGTTTTGTTAAGGGCATCAGATTACAGCACAGCTCTTGTGATATAGTGTTTGTAGCATAACTGGTTTGGTTCTGGAAAGAAAATAACCACTTCGCAGTTAGCGCCCGTCTTGGCAGTGTGTTTCTTCATGCTTCTTTTTTTTTCTTTTCTAGCATTTAGAGTCCCTACCTTTCTTGTAAGATAAGGCGTGTGAAAACTTCAGGAACCAAAAATAGTGCTCTTAGACAGTTACCTTGATGGCATGAGTAAGTTGGTGCCGTAGTAAATTATTTCAGAGCTGGAGGAATCGCTGAAGTCTACCGCCTATCGCTCTTTTTTCTTCTCGAGGACGCCTAAGCTGTGAAGTGTACCTGTTGCGCAGGTAAGTGCAGCGACACCCTTCTTATTGGCTATACTACCTCTTCCACTCTCAATTAGCTGCCTGTTTTGGTTACTTTCCTAAACTCATATGAGAGCAAGGCGTGCGATCATGGACAAGAAACAGCCCCACCGCGGTGGTCTAGTGGCTAAGGTACTCGGCTGCTGACCCGCAGGGCGCGGGTTCGAATCCCGGCTGCGGCGTCTGCATTTTTGATGGAGGCGGAAAGGTTGTAGGCCCGTGTGCTCAGATTTGGGTGCACGTTAAAGAACCCCAGGTGGTCTAAATTTCCGGAGCCCTTCACTACAGCGTCTCTCATATCATATAGTGGTTTTGGGACGTTAAACCCCACATATCAATCATCAATCATGGACAAGAAACAGCATCGCTCAGGCCTACGTCTATGACTTCCCCGTGTTCCACTTTTCTGAAAGCTTCAATACGTATTTATTGGTAATTGTTACCTCAGTATCAGTACCTGGTATTTTAAGCGCAAAATTACAATCTGGTTATGGATGACGTAAATTCCGACCATCTGATGGTCTTCGCGTTCCAAAGTACGCGGACCACTCTCATTTGGCCTTCACGAAAATGTGACCACCGTGACCGATATCAAACCCACGACTTTCCGCTCGCAGCCTATCACCGAAGGTACTGACCCGCCGTAGTTGACTTATTGTAGCATTTCACTATGAACATTATGGAATGCACTACTACAGTTATAGGAAACAGTTAAACAGTATCGCTGGTACAAATCATGCCAGCAATATAGTAAACTGAGCTATCTCTAACAAATCTAAATGCATGTCAATAACCCGGCGATCTATTTCTCCCCCCTGTACCTACAGAATTAACGCCGTTCCCCTCCAGCATGTCTCTTCATATAAGTACCTCGGCGTTTACATTACCAACAATCTATCTTGGCACACGCATGTTACCTACATCTGTAATAACGCTAACCGAACGCTAGGATACTTACGCCGCAACTTTTCTCGCGCTCCGCTGTCCCTCAAAATTCTATTATACCGATCACTAACTCGCCAAAAGCTTGAGTATGCGTCCGCTATATGGGATCCCGTGCAGCAAAATTTAGTTAACGCGTTAGAATCTGTTCAGAACCGCTCAGTTCGGTTCATTTGTTCTAATTATTCCCGTACTGCTAGCATATCAGAAATGAAATCTAACCTTGACCTACCCAATTTAACTGTCCGGAGGAAACTGGCGCGACTGCATTTTTTTCATAAGATATTTTTTCACAATCCATCAATGAAGCGAGACCTCATTTCACAACCGTCATACCACTCATCGCGCATTGATCATCAGCATAAGGTTGCCATTCCGTTTTGCCGCCCCAAATTCTTTTCAGCAGCCTTCTTACCGAAAACAGCCGCCGATTGGAACCACCTTCCCTCTTCCGTTGTAACAATAACAGACCCTTTGTTATTCAAGACTGCAATTTCTCAGCAATGCTTCTAACTATACGCAGTTTCCATTATCTATCTTTGTCTTGTATGTGCTTGAATTCTTATACATTTTTAGTTGACTTATGTTGCCTTCCCGATTTGCGCATCTGACACTTGTGTCTTTATTTTGTCTTTTTTTTCTTGTGTGTTATAAATGTTGTACCCACCCCCTCTGTAATGCCCTACGGGCCCTGAGGGTATTCTAATAAATAAATAAATAAATCTCAACGCTGTCGCACAACTTTTGTTTAGTATATTTTTATTTTGTGTTATTCCCGCAATCACATATCGTATTGTTGTTTGTTTTAACAACGTTGTATTATAACACGTGATTTTGATGTCCTCCCTTCAGAATGTCTCCAGGATGCTGTGCAGCTGTGACGTTGTTCATACCGGGGGCTGTGGCAACGGTGGTAGTCTTCGCGTCCCTTTGGCTAGGCGGGGTACAAGCCGGCCCCAACGAAAGTCTCTCGCAACTAACTGCCAGTGGCCCTTGGCAGCCCAAAGATAGTCCGATAGACAATCCCTGGACCTCCCCTTCCACCACGAGTGCGCCAGAAACCCGCATCATGGAACTGGATTTCCAGACGCTCAGCGCCATCGTCGGTCTGGCTAAATATATCCTGTGTAAGTTTCGTGTCTCTCTTGTCACTTGTTGTCAGATCGCTTGCAGGTACCGTCGTCAAGAAATTGGGCAGTGATTGACATGCACATTTGACAATTTCCACGTGCTGATCTATTAGTAAGACTATCATACCATGCCTACGTTGTACTTAAATCTCTCGAAATTGCTACACTAGGCGCGCTTGAAATTCTCTTAGGCGAAGTACAACTTCATAGATGGCAGGTGTTAGGCTCGCAAGACATTGACGAAAGGACGCTGCAGATACGAACATGCACGGTGGTGCCTTTATGTGTATTAATCGCCTTTGTCAAAATTTCTCGTGGCTAACTCTGGTGAATCATGGGGTACCAACTAGGTCGACCCTATGCACTATGTTATATTTCTTGGTATTCCTTGATTGGGCTTCACATCTAATCAAGTTTTCTTATTTCATGATACAATGTACAAAAAAGAATATGCAGACGGAGGTCCCACACTATAGACTGAAATGGGTCCTCGTTCTGTTCTTGTTCTCGTGTCGAAGGTTATGTCTCTTTCTTCAACTTTGGCGAAGCAATGAAGCGCTGTATTGTTATCTCATATTTATTCTCGCTCCCTTTACTAACTGGACAGATAAGCGTGAGGACACATTCTTTAGTACATCATTCGCTGTTGCATATTGCCATTACTATCCCTTTGTAACTAGATGGAACGCGCTCCCTGGCTGACCTTGAAACGAAGCAACATAGGGCAACTTGCATTGTGGAGGTTACCATGGCATATTTTAACGAAAATTTATTTGCAGATTTTAGCGTACAGTTCTTTAGCAGTGTTTAGGTAGGAGTGCCACGCTGAAGCGCAACTTTCTAAAATTCCCGTGAAATTTTTTTCGAACCACTTAAATCATGCCATTGTCACACGCTACTTTTGAGAATGCCAATACGAGTTATGTCATTACATTACAGACAAGACGGCTACCTGATGAATGTTAGAAGCCAAGTAGCATTTCTATTTTTTGTTTGAATATAGGCAGTTGGTATAGTTAATTTTGATGTGAAAGACTTCATAGCGGCTAGAATGTATTCAATTATAGGATAAATAGTTTTTGTGTAAATAATAATTGTATTGTGAGTATTATTATCCTAATTTTAACTATGATGTGAATAAATTGCGTCGCATGATTTGTTAAAACAGCACAACAATTATTTCGCAAAACAATGTCAATACTCAACGATGGCAAGGCCAGCTTCTCAAAAAGCGTCCCACCTACAAAAAAAAAACAAAAAACAAGACGTGTCTTGATACGCGGCTCCAACGCAGAGCGATCGCCCTGTAGGAGCGGTTACAACGTTATCTAGGGTAATACAGAAACTAGTCGAACTCATGTGTCCTACCACCGAAGCACCTTTATTTTACGAGGACAACACTAAATATTGTCATTGTGCGCCGTGAACTACGATGCGCTGAAAAACACTTTAAATGTTAATGACGTGTAACAGACAATAATGTCAAGGCAAGTACAGCGGATCTTATTAGTAGCAATTTTCAATGTTAAGTATAGTGAACAGAAATATTATTTACCGTAGGCAGACAAAACATGCTACCTTCGAATGAAGCATCTGATGATCTTCGAATAGCGACCTACGGAAGAACATCGGACGCGTTCTTCGAAGGTAGTAGGTAGGGTGCTTGCCCACGGTAAGTTATGTTTTTGTCTACTTTTGTTTCTTCGCATTTACATTTACTAATAATAACGTCGCCTACACTTTCCTCAGCAACATTCCATGTTGATTTTAATGATTAGTCTGTCGAAAAACGAAAACCCAGCAGTCAAATTCTCCCTTCTTTTCTTCCTTTCAAATATTACTCTTTTAAGAGCCCACAGAAAGACGGTCATAAACACAACTGAGAAAACTCATCGCATGGATGAAATTGTGTACAAGACGTGAATGATGGCGTGAAAAGCCCTTTAGATTCGTTTATAGGTGGTGTCCACAATCACACTATCATGGCTCCCTTCGTATGATTGGCCCAACCCCTTCGTTTTTACCTGACGTTCTTGTATTGCTTACTTCATTACCAGCCTTCACCACTAGCTGCAACTACCGTGGAAACACCTACCAGTGCGCCATTGGAATTCAGTGCTGGATGCAGGGCCAGAGGGCTCTCGATTTGTGCAATGGAGGCTTCGTGTGGAGTTGCTGCGTCCCCTGGAATGCTCAGGCGTCCAAGGTTGGGCTGGTGCAGAATATTTGTAAGTTTACTCAGATCAAAATCTCAATATATTATGTATAGGCATACTTCTGTTGAAAATATCCTGTATCCTGAATTTTCCCTTGCGGTAATTATCACCGGGTCCCTAAAATGCTACAAAAAAGTGCTTATATCACGCAACATCTTGCTATAAGGGTTCAATTGACAACTTTAATGGAAGCCTTTCTCAATACATGAGGCCGCCTATATTGTTCGCTGCACACTGCGTATGGAGATCGGTGGGGGTGTACGAGATGTGTTTACTGTATTTGCGATTTTACAGTGCATGTCGCACACGGTGCAACGCAAGGACATCAAGAAGCATGCTATCTATTTATACGAGAAGAAAGCTCAATTACTAGGACTAAAATTATGCGGACATGAATAGAATATGCACAGTTGTTTTAAGATATTGTTACATAGTTTGATCAAAGATAGAAGGATAGGTAATAGTCTACTTGAAGTTCGAAAAGACTATGTCTACATAGGGCAGGTAATAATCGCGGAGGCAAACCACGAGATTGAAGTAACTAGAAGAATAAGAACGGGGTGGAGCACATTTGACAAGCACTCTCAACTTTTGACAGGTAGATGGCCACTATCCCTCAATAGGAAGGTATATAACAGCTGTATCCTGCCGGTACTTAGCTATTAAGCAGAAACATGGAGACTTACGAAGAGAGTTTAGCTTAAACTGAGGACGACGTGGCGAGCAATGGAAAGAAAAATGGTAGGTGTAACCTTAAGAGACAAGAAGGAAGCGGAGTGGATTAGGGAACAAACGGGGGCTAAGGATATAAAAGCTGAAATCAAGAAGAGGAAATAGACATGGGCCGGGTGTGTAGCGTGTAGACAGGACAACTGTTGGTCATTAAGGGTAACTAACTTGTTTCCCAGAGAAGGCGAGAGGGTTAGGGATAGACGGAAGATTATGTGGGCAGATGAGATTAAGAAGTTTGCGGGTATAAATTGGCAGCAGCAAGCACAGAACTGAGTTAACTGGCGGAACATGGGAGAGGCCTTTGTTTTGCAGTGGAAGTAGTCAGGCTGATGATGATGATGATGATGATGATGATGATAATGATGATGATGAATTAGTCCCGGAGATTAATATTTGTTAGATGCTATTTGAATAAGACATTTTTCCAGATCGGCTATCTGGATGATGATAGCTTTAGGAGCATCTGCCTTCCCTATGCATCACACGAACTATCATAATTTTAACACACAAGATATTTAAATTAAGAAGTCACTGAATTTTCGTAGCTATTTCGGAGACCTCCAGCTTTTTAAGAATCGCACGTTTGCATTATCCTTTCTGGCATAATACGGATGGCGGAGTAATTCATTTATAAGTCAATTTCTTGGTCTGCTTCAAGGCAGCTTTAGAGCTGCTGCTTACTCATTTTCGTCCCATGTTCAAGCCTATGTTTCACTTATCCGAAGGAAAACACAGGCATTGTATCAGCTTATTTGACATTTTTCAGCCTAATGTTTCATGTTTTATTTGTCTCTGGGTATCTGCATCGTTTTCTGGGTATATACACCTAATAGGTAATAATGATATACAATGAAAGCTGAAGGCCGTTAAATGTTACCTGCTTGCACCTAGACCCAATCATTTTAAAACTTACTTGAAAATCTCGCATTAGACAAGCTGTAACAAAGAGCCGTAACTTTTGCTTGTATCTAACAATATAGTGGGAATATTTCGATAGGATAGGAGGAGTTGGTAATTCATGATGGTTCAACTGGGAGCGCGGGGGTAAACACAAACACAAAGCAAAGAAGAGGCACACAGCATGAGCGCTCGTGCTGTGTGCCTCTTCTTTGCTTTGTGTTTGTGTTTACCCCCGCGCTCCCAGTTCGCTGAAAACTTCAATTTCATAAGATAGAACTAGGACAGAGGCCTGTTTTGTCCACCTCTTTAATTTTCTCACTCATTTACGCTGACTGATGGCCAATTTCGCTCCAGCATGCGGCAGAACCTATCTACGGCATTCCAAGGTGGTTGGTGGTGAAAACGCCAAGTTTGGGCAGCAGCCATGGCAGGTGAGATGTTTAGCATGTTGTCCAGAAAATGACCTAGCAAGTCTTTCAGACGAATAACATTATGCCTACTTTGGCCCTCAGTTTATACCTGGTGATTTACGGCGTTTGACGTGCGAAAACTATGATATCATTCTGAGGCACACCGTATTGCAAAACTCATCATAATTTTAGCCTCGTTGTGCTCTTCAATGTCCTCATAAACTTAAGGACAAATATTTGTTGCCTTTCGACTCTATCAATATACGCAACGTGGTGGTATAGTGATTTCGGTGCTCGGCAGCTCACCCGAAAACACGGGTTTGATCGCGGCCGTGGCGATCATCCCTCTCAATGAATCCCACCACGCTCTCTTATCACCACTTTTTTGATCATGTTGTCAGAAGAAAATGTCGTGTCAGAGTTTGAATATCAGCAGTGTGGAAGTTTTGCACACAGATATATATGAGAATAACGAATCACGGAAATGGGCGCTGCTTCAAAGCTGATGAAGCATCGGGGCCAAAGTCATTTCCCGGAAACAAGCTTGTACACGTTACAGAAGACAAGTAAGCTAGTAAAGCTTCAAATAAATGCTTTAATATGTATTATTAGTAGTTATCAGTCAAAGCTCCACAAAAGTAGCAAAGAAATGACATAAATCTGATCGAATACTTTTTCGTTATTTTTGATAAATATATTTGCAGTAACACAATAGCACAACTTTACTCGAACTACTACAAACTGTTGTGACGTTCATGTTAGAAATAATGCTAGGGGCTTACATGAAGGTTGCAATGCTTACTGTGACTCCTGTGAGATATTTTTACATGCACTTTCACGTACAGTTGTTTTTCATTGTTCTAGTCGCTAATTCTTCTATATTTCCTCGTTAGAGGCTAGCTGCTACACTGGACACTCTCTGAATGCATGCGCTCGAGCGAAGGGTGGTATAAAACATAAGGACATCATGGGCACGAGCTCGCAGTTGCTCACTGCTTCGATGTCCTTGTAAACATGGCCTCTATGAAGGGACGTGTTACGCAGTTGCTGGCATTCTGATAGGGCGTTCGGTAAGGGTAAGGAGAAAGTGAAAAAACTGGCTGCCCACTTCTGACATGATAAGAAGGGGGCTTTCTTCAAAGTAGTCACATATTTTTCGAGATGCGCAGAAACCTGCTTACAAGTTGATTTTGAATAAAAACTAATATATTGTCGGCAAAGAACAGCAAAAAATGGAATTAAATTAGAATTGTATATAGTTTTACAAATGCACTTCATTGTATTACAAAAGTGCAAGAAAATAGAATTGGTTACAGGTAATTCATAACATGTTACGTGCTACATAAAACACTGCTCGGAAAGGAGACTAAGAACAAAGCTGATAATCCGCGTGCCCCTTCCGTTCTGTAACCACCTTTGAATTGATGCCCATGTCCCGCTGATCCTCCCGAGCCATTTTTGTAATTTATACTTTATGCCGAGTTTACCTTCAGTTTGTCAGAGAGCCTTCTTCGCACGTGATGAATTTCTCAGGGAAGGAAGGCACTCCAGATCTCAGGAAAGGTAGGGAGAGGTGCAGTGTCAATGCCCGGTGTGATAAGTGTTTATTAGGTCGTAAAATAATGCTTGTTGTTCCAATTTATGTTAAAATGCTACGCTAAACAAACGAAACTTCTTATACAATAATAAATAAATGTTTTCCGAGTGCATGCGGTATCCCGATTTTTTCACAGGATTTTTCACTTTGGTTGGCTTTCAAATATGTCAGCTACTTTATAAAAATTAAAAATCAATCAATCATTTAGGTAGTCAATCAATGTTTCATTTAACGTGCAAAGGAACAACCATGGGGTCTTTTTTCAAGTGTACGTTAAAATGAAACAATAAAAATGAGCAATACAATACAGTCTTCCGCAAAAAAAAAAAAGCCGATAAAAGAGCGTATACACACAGCCAAAAAGAAGTCAGCACAAAATGGGAAAGATAACATACAAGACGAGGATCAGTTATGGGCAGTGAAAAAAAAGTAAAATATACACAACTATGTTAAAGGCTTTCATAAAAGCGGAAAAGGGAAAAATCTGTATATTGCGAAACATCATGTCTTAGGACAGTGCAAAGCTGACATAAAAGCAATGTCAGTGAGAAGTAAAAAACATCATGATCATGAACGTCATTATATAGACGGTATTCTGTGAGCCGTTTAGCGTTGAAAGAAGTTGGCAAGTACATGAAATGAATCATTCTCTCTGATCAACTTAGGCGGAATTCGAAAGCACACACAACTTATAATCAAAGGGCAGGATATCATACGGTAAACTAGTTTGTGAAAAAATAAGAGGTCTGGGCGACTCCACCGGCAGTGAATTGATTGCATTGATAATAATATGGCAGTGATAAAACGAGATCAAGAGTCAACTCTAGATAAACTATAATTGTAAATGTTCATGACGTTTTCTGGGCTCGCTCATTCACGAGAGTTAGCGATGCAATTCCAGGCCACAGATGCATACTGAAGCTGAGGAAGACAAATAATGATAATATTATATGCTAAAATATTGATGAAATTACTGATAACATCTGGGGCTGAACGTCACAAAACCATGACATGAGTGTGAGAGACGACGTAGTGGAGAGTTCCGGCAATTTCGGCCACCTGTGGTTCTTTAACGTGCACCTAAATCTGAGTACACAGACCTGAAATATTTTAGCCACTATCAAAAATAGTGCCACCGCAGCCCGGATTCGATGTTGTGACCTCCAGGATAGCATTCTAATGCCATAACCATTAGACCACCGCGGTAAAGCAACTGCTCTATGAGTCATTATTTCAAAAATTAACATCAAATGCAGGCAATAAAGCGCAAAAATTCAACTACAATGTAAGTCATTGAATTTCAACGCTTTATTGCCAAGCGCATCATGTTGCTTTTTGTGAATGATATCACTTTGCATACCTTTTAGATTTTTTTAGACTTACCGATGAACTATTTTTCTAGCCATATGATCTTATCACATGCTAACATCTTCACTCTTTCTTTCACAAAATAAGTGCGGCTCTCCTTCTTGGACCATTTTCCTGGCCTGCAGTATTTTGTAACTGAACATTTACAATAAAAATTGCTCTAGCATGCACTAGTGACGTGATGCTAGAAACACAGCCGAGCTAATCCGAACATAATTGGTCTTGCTGTTTACGAGGTTGTGCGACCTGAAGCCAAATATTGCGAGGTTGGTCAAATAATAATGGGAACCAACAGCAAATTACAGGGTATATATGTTATTGATAGTGACTGTGGTGTAAACGTGAAGAAATGACTGAGAAGGAAAAGATAAATTGCCATCGGCAGGGACCGAACCTGCGACCTTCAATTGATGCGTGCAATGCTCTACAAACTGAGCTACAGAGGGGGTCATACCTCAGTCCACTTTATACGTAAAATGCATATATATACCTCATAAAGTCGAAGTATAGAGATGACCGCCGCAATAGTTCAGTTAGTCGAGCATTACATTCCTTATTAGAAGGTCGCAGGCTCGGTACCTTCTGATGAAAAATTATCTTTTCTTCCTGTTTTATTTCTTCACATTCATCTTGCAATAACTTCCAATAACATCCGCTATACTTTTCTACGCGTCAATGTCTGTTAGTTCTCTTTATTACTGTGTCTAACAAAGTTATAGAGCCCTTAAAGTTTCACTTCTTTTCTCCGGGTTGTACAAAATAGTGCGAGGTATTGGCATGTATGGTCAGTCGTGACACATTGGTCACGTGGTGCTACTCATGTTACAAAACACAAAGTTGGGCTAGTAGCTTTGCGTTTATATTGAAACACCTCAAAAGACGAGGCATAAATAAACATTTGATAGCACGAGCACCCGTCCTGTCAAGTCTTTCTTGGGCTTAGACTTTTTCGCTGTTCCAATACAGCCATGTCACGTTAGTCGCATGAACATACGGGTGTCAATTCCATGTCCCGAGATGGCTATAGACTACTAGCAGCATGCTATTGACGTTACATGACTAGTTTTGTGGCAGTTTTGCTCACTAGACATATACCAATTTTGGTATTAAGTGACATGAATGCATGACGAAGATATGTGACGATGTGCCCTTGGCCATTTGGTTAACTTCACCTATACAAATCTTGATATTACGGGACGTTAATTAAGGACAAATGTATGTGACTGATGTAAACATGACAATCATGAGATGTAATTCTTGTAACAGCATTACAACATGTGCTCATGATGCACTGGCGGCAGTTTCACTAGCTTCACGTATACCAAGGTTGGTACTACGTGACGTAAACGGATGACAAAGGCAAACGCGTAGCCAGAAAGTTTTTTCTTTTTCGGGGGAAGGAGACCCCCTTGATTACGGGAGGGGCGCCCCCTTATATTGGCCATTTTTCGCTCTCTATGCCATGGCGAAAGAAACGTTGATGGGCGGGGGAGCAGGGGCACGTGCTTGGTATGCCATCTCCTGGCTCCACCTCTGGATGAAGGTTCATGACACTACCAAACACGATAATCATGACATGCGTGTCATGTCCCAGCATGGCTGCATGCCATATTCATGATGTGCTCGCGGCCGTCTTACTAGCTTCACATATATCAAATTCGGTATCAGCTGACGTGAATAGATGACAAAGGTACGTCACTGGTGCATACGTAATAATCATGAGATGCGTGTCATGGAAAATATGACATGCTACGCTCATAGCATGCTCGCAACCAATTCGCAATTTCCACATATACCAAATTCGGTAGTATATTACTTGAATACAACGAAGGTAAATGACACGTCCAAACATGATAATTATGATATATTTGTATTGCAAAACATGAACACATGCTACGCTCATTGCGCACTCGCGGCCATTGCGCTAGTTCATTTTACACCAAGTTTAGTATCACGTCCAAATATGATAATCATGAAATGGAAGTCATGTACGGCATAATTTCCGTCCGCCTCGTAACGCTATGCTAATTTTAAAGTGACATCAACCTTTCTATAT